TGAGCTTTGTAATCAAAGGATCAAACCATGGTGGGCGGTTGCCTTTAGTTTTAAATCTAACCAACGGAGCATGTTTGTTAAGAATTTGGAGAAACGTGTACTTGAAGGTCTCCCAAGCCGTAGTCAGGTTGGGGATATCACAGACCTTGTCAATATCCGAGTGAAGCACATCATTAGTAAATGCCTGAGTGCTGAAGTGTCTCATAGAGTGCTTCTCAACCAATTTAGGGGGGGGGGGGCTTTGGGTCTGGCTGATGATCTCACCCCAAAAATGAAGGAGTGATCACTAAGGTTATTACCCAGAACACCGGTCAGTGTGAAATTTTGAGGAGCATTTGTCAATAGGACGTCAAGCAGAGATGGCTGTCCCGATTTTTTTTTAGGTTGGGTCTTGTGGGGACATTTATTAATTGAAACGGATCAAATTAATCTGCAAAATGTGTGGCCATAGCCGGCGGGTTTAGCCAATTCCAATTTAGATCACCCACTAAAACTATTTCACCTTTAGGGAGGCCCCCATGAAGCTCTCTCAGTGCAGATGCAGCTTCAACTTCCTTCCCACTCGGCGGTCTATAGCAGCCACACTACCAATATCTGTTGATTATTTGGGAGAGTATTATTTTGAGAGCCAGACCTTCAAAGCAACATTTTTTTAAAAAAAAAACAAGGAGTGAGCTGGTGAGCATGCAATAGCGTTACGAACATTGATGGCAATTCCACCTCCTTTAGATCCTCGGTCAAGCGGAAAAAGGTTGTAGTTATCAATCGCGATCTGCAAGTCATTGATGGCAGGAGTGTGAAATGTTTCTGTTGGGCAAAAAAAAATTTGTCCGGGTCAAGATTTGCCACTTGTAGTTTTAGTTGACTTAATTTAATCACAAGCCCTCTGATTTCGATTAAAAGCTTTCGGTAAAGTCACGTTGAAGGGAAACAATAAAATATATATAAAACAATAAAAATTCTCACGACGTTTCGACCATAACACAAACGGTCGTCATCAGGTGCGTCGGTTTGCATAAATTTATTTATTTTTAAACGGTGTACTTATATATTTATAAAAAAAACCGTCAGCGCCACGTGCAGCGATTTGGCAGTTTATTTAGAAGGACTAGTCCATCTATTTCGATTTAAAGCTTTCGTGACTGCAATGATTCATCTTCTTTGGTTCTTTCGGTAAAGTCACGTAGAATGATAATAAAATAATAAATTGATAAAATAAAATAACACAATAATATTCTCACGACGTTTCGGCCACAACACAAGCGGCCTTCATCAGGTGAAGGGGGCGAGACTGTCTGGTAGGACAGCGCTGGAGTGAAAGAGCCACGTTCAGATACGGCCTTTTAAGCTGTGTGAGAGGAACAAAGCGCCTTGACAAAGGAATTAGCTAAATTATATGCTAATTATATGCTAATTATAGCTAAATTATATGCTAATTCCTTAATGCTAAATTATATGCTAATTCCTTTGTCAAGGCGCTCTGTTTCTTCTCACACAGCTTAAAGTTCGCGATCTGAACGTGGCTCTTTCACTCCAGTGCTGTCCTACCAGACAGTCTCGCCCCCTTCACCTGATGAAGGCCGCTTGTGTTGTGGCCGAAACGTCGTGAGAATATTATTGTGTTATTTTATTTTATCAATTTATTATTTTATTATCATTCTACGTGACTTTACCGAAAGAACCAAAGAAGATAGTCCATCTATGTTCTGAAAAGAGGAGGGGGGAGACGAAAAATTAATGTATGCTGTCTGAAAGCCACCGTAAGCGTGCGTGAACAATCAATTAAGACCTGAAATGGTTGATCAAACCTTTCCAATGATTGCTAAGCCAGAATCCATCAGCGATTGACAACTACAACCTTCAATGAAGCTCTGTCCTCCCGACAGTTCTGTTCTTTCACCTGAAGAAGGCCGCTTGTGTCGCGGCCGAAACGTCGCGAGGATTTGATTGTGTAATTTAATTATTTTATTACTTTATCCTCATTCTACGCGGTGACTTTACCCGATGGAACCCAAGAAGACGAGCCCCTCTGATGTTGACACATAGAACACCAACACCGTTTAATACGATTTCTTCTCGTTTGGGCCAGGACGAAGCTCAAATACCACCCAGAAAGAAAAAAAGCAGAATGAATGGGTTTGCACAAGTATTTTTCCGTGAAAGGATGAAGAGCGGCGAGCCTTGGACGAATCGCAGTAGCTCGCAGACGGTGTTATTTTTAAGAGCAGAATTAAGTTTGGAAGAAGAATTAAAGTTTGGAAGGCAGTTCAGAGATATGTTTAAAAACTAAAAAAATCATTATAACAGCAGCGACGCTTTAAAATGACATTGACACTCAGACGTCGGTGATTTCTAAATAATAAATTTTGATTTAAGGCTTTCGTGACTGCAGTTATTCATATTCTTGGTTCTTTCGGTAAAGTCACCACGTTGAAGTTAGTTTACGTGAGGACGGAGCCGATGACGTCGCCACGTTGCATGCGCGGTGACGTCATCACGCTCACACCCTGCCGATGCCGGCGGAGTACGGCGGCGACATCACAACACGCCGGCCGGCGACGTAAGCACGCTAGCCCGTGACCGTGCGTGATGACGTCACCCCGCATGATGACACCGCGCCTCGACAGCACGCGCGGGCGCCGCCGGCGTACGTGATGGCGTCATCGATGCGCCGACGTCAACGCGCTCGGATCACGCGCAAGGGTGCCCTCAGGGTACGTGATGACGCCGCTGACTCGCTGACGTCGGCGTACGCACAGCGCCGTCGGCGTACGTGATGACGTCACATCGCATGAGGACGCCTCGTTCGCGTCGCACGCATTGGTACCGTCAGCGAACGTAATGACGCCACTCATGTTGCCGACGTCAACACGTTCCGGTAGTACGCACGGCTTCGACAACGTGCGTGATGACGTCAGTGACATAACGACGTGACGTGACCATAAAATACACGTTATGGCGCTGGCTGGTTAAGTACGTGGTGACGTCACCACGTCGATCCACGCGTTTCAATTGGAGGGATCTCTCCACTGCTGGATGAAGGCCTCCCCTCGCCTCCATCGCCAGTGAGAAATTCACGCGACCACGTCTTAACATCTCATCAGAGTCGTGATAGAACCCACGACCTCCTGCGTACCAGGCGAGGTAGTAAACATCTCGTCAGGGTCGTGATATAACCCACGACCTCCTGCGTACCAGGCGAGGTAGTCAACATCTCATCAGGGTTACGGATAGAACCCACGACCTCCTGTGTACCAAGCGAGGTAGTTAACATCTCGTCAGGGTCTTGATAGAACCCACGACCTCCTGCGTACCAGGCGAGGTAGTTAACATCTCATCAGGGTCGTGATGGAACCCACGACCTCCTGCGTACCAGGCGAGGTAGCTAACATCTCGTCAGAGTCGTGATAGAACCCACGACCTCCTGCGTACCAGGCGAGGTAGTTAACATCTCGTCAGGGTCGTGATAGAACCCACGACCTCCTGTGTACCAGGCGAGGTAGTCAACATCTCATCAGGGTCGTGATAGAACCCACGACCTCCTGCGTACCAGGCGAAGGTAGTTAACATCTCATCAGGGTCGTGATAGAACCCACGATCTCCTGTGTACCAGGCGAGGTAGTTAACATCTCGTCAAGGTCGTGATAGAACCCACGACCTCCTGTGGACCAGGCGAGGTAGTTAACATCTCGTCAAGGTCGTGATAGAACCCACGACCTCCTGTGTACCAGGCGAGGTAGTTAACATCTCGTCAAGGTCGTGACAGAACCCACGACCTCCTGTGTACCAGGCGAGGTAGTTAACATCTCGTCAAGGTCGTGACAGAACCCACGACCTCCTGCGTACCAGGCGAGGTAGTTAACATCTCGTCAGGGTCGTGATAGAACCCACGACCTCCTGTGTACCAGGCGAGGTAGTTAACATCTCATCAGGGTCGTGATAGAACCCACGACCTCCTGTGTACCAGGCGAGGTAGTTAACATCTCGTCAAGGTCGTGACAGAACCCACGACCTCCTGCGTACCAGGCGAGGTAGTTAACATCTCGTCAGGGTCGTGATAGAACCCACGACCTCCTGCGTACCAGGCGAGGTAGTTAACATCTCGTCAGGGCCCCTGATCCCCCTACCACCCCTCCCCCTCTCTCCTCCCAGCTCCCCCTTCCCACAAGCCCCTCCCCTTCTCCCACAAGCCCCTCCCCTTCTCCCACGAGCCCCTCCCCTCCCCTTCTCCCACGAGCCCCTCCCCTCCACCACCACGAGCCCCTCCCCTCCCATTCTCTCACGAGCCCCTCCCCCTTCACCATCACCACGAGCCCCCCCCACAACCACGAGCCCCTCCCCTTCTCCCCCCCTCCCATTCTCCCACGAGCCCCTCCCCTCAACCACCACCACCACGAGCCCCCCCCCCACCATCAGCCCCTCCCCTCCCATTCTCCCACGAGCCCCTCCCCCCACCACCACCACCACCACGAGCCCCTCCCCTTCTCCCACAAGCCCCTCCCCTTCTCCCACGAGCCCCTCCCCTCCCATTCTCCCACGAGCCCCTCCCCTCCCCCCACCACCACGAGCCCCTCCCCCCACCACCACCACGAGCCCCTCCCCCCACCACCACGAGCCCCTCCCATTCTCCCACGAGCCCCTCCCCTTCTCCCACGAGCCCCTCCCCTCCCATTCTCCCACAAGCCCCTCCCCTTCTCCCACGAGCCCCTCCCCTCCCATTCTCCCACGAGCCCCTCCCCTCCACCACCACCACCACGAGCCCCTCCCCCCACCACCACCACCACGAGCCCCTCCCCTTCTCCCACAAGCCCCTCCCCTTCTCCCACGAGCCCCTCCCCTCCCATTCTCCCACGAGCCCCTCCCCCCACCACCCCCACGAGCCCCTCCCCTTCTCCCACAAGCCCCTCCCCTTCTCCCACAAGCCCCTCCCCTTCTCCCACGAGCCCCTCCCCTCCCATTCTCCCACGAGCCCCTCCCCCCCACCACCACTCACCACCACGAGCCCCTCCTCCCCCCCCCACCACCACCAACCACGGCAGTCCCCACCGGCGGCCATGCTCCGCGAGACGCGCCATCTGTGGGTGGGGAACCTTCCCGACAATGTTCGCGAGGAAAAAATCGTCGATCACTTCAAACGGTGAGGGGGACCTCTAATCCTACCACTCTACATCCCCCTCCTAGGAGACCCCCCTCGATTGGGGAGTCTCTCGGCGGTCGTGAGGCGGCGCGAACAGGCGTAGTGGGGGGGGGGAGGTTGTGTTCCGACGTTGAGATGGTCGGGCCCCGTCGTACATTTGGTAGAGCGGATAAGGCGAGGCACTTCCGTAAGGCGCCTCCGCGTTGGCTGGCGCGAGTCACGCGGGCGGCGCCGCGGCCAATGGGAGCAGCCGTCTCGCCGCGCCGCGACTACGCGCGTGGGAAATGTGGCCCGTTGGTGGTCGATGGTCGTTTATATTTTTTATTTTATTTTTAAAAAAAATAAATTTTATTTTTTATTTCCCCCCCCCCCGCCGCCCCATCAACGCGGCGATTTTGTTCGTTCGTTCGTTGTCGTTAACGAACAGTGATCGAGAGTTAAACGTTTCGACTTCGAGGAGAAGTACACATTTTTGCCCAAATGGAAAAAAATGTTTTATCCTTGACGGCGGCGGTTCAGAACACGATATTGCCCCGGCTGCGATTTTAAATATATATTATGGGCCCCGTTGTTATTTACGAATTTCGTCGTCGTTATCCACGCGGTTGTTTCGAGCTAGCTCGCGTTACTATTAATAATAATAATTATAAAAAAAACAACATCGCTGTGGCTCAGGCGTGAATATTGGAGTACGCGACCGCGTGTGGTTTTATTTGATTTTTTTTTTTAAACTTTACGAACGTGAGAGGGTTTAAAAGCACGAACATAGCCTCGCTAGCGATGTGGTTTTTAATTTTTTTAATATATATTTTTTAAGAGACTTGAGGAGAATGGGAGCGAGGGAGCGCGCGCACTATTTTGTTTGGCGGCGGAAGGGGAGGGCGCGCTGTGACCGCGCAAGGATACCGCGGACTCGAAATTATTTTCCTTTTATTTTAAATATATATATTTTTAAAACGTACAAAAAAAATTCCCGATTCAGTCGATCGATCGAGAGTCTTTCACGCTCCCCCCAGTTGGTGTATTTTTTTTGTTTGGTAAACAAGTGTTTACGTTGTTAAAAGATGAACAACAAGGGAGGATTATTTCTGTTTATAAACCTCCGCGCGCGCGCGCGGGAACTCGAGCGGTGAAGTGGCTCGACCCCCCCCCCCCCCTATTAAAACGATCTGAGGGAAATATTTAAATGTTTTATTTTTAAATTATTATTTAGCAAAAATGTTTTATTCTGTGCAACTAATTTAATGTAAACGTTGCACATCGGTTAGAGAGTTGGATGGGTTAGATGGTGAGTGGGTGAGATGGTGAGTGGGTGAGGTGGTGAGTGGGTGAGATGGTGAGTGTGTTAGATGGTGAGTGTGTTAGATGGTGAGTGGGTGAGATGGTGAGTGGGTGAGATGGTGAGTGGGTGAGATGGTGAGTGGGTGAGATGGTGAGTGGGTTAGATGGTGAGTGGGTGAGATGGTGAGTGGGTTAGATGGTGAGTGTGTTAGATGGTGAGATGGTGAGTGGGTTAGATGGTGAGTGGGTGAGATGGTGAGTGGGTTAGATGGTGAGTGGGTGAGATGGTGAGTGGGTTAGATGGTGAGTGTGTTAGATGGTGAGTGGGTGAGATGGTGAGTGTGTTAGATGGTGAGTGGGTGAGATGGTGAGTGGGTTAGAGGGTGAGTGGGTGAGATGGTGAGTGTGTTAGATGGTGAGTGTGTTAGATGGTGAGTGGGTGAGATGGTGAGTGGGTGAGGTGGTGAGTGGGTGAGATGGTGAGTGGGTGAGATGGTGAGTGGGTTAGATGGTGAGTGGGTGAGATGGTGAGTGGGTTAGATGGCGAGTGTGTTAGATGGTGAGATGGTGAGTGGGTTAGATGGTGAGTGGGTGAGATGGTGAGTGGGTTAGATGGTGAGTGGGTGAGATGGTGAGTGGGTTAGATGGTGAGTGTGTTAGATGGTGAGTGTGTTAGATGGTGAGTGGGTGAGATGGTGAGTGTGTTAGATGGTGAGTGGGTGAGATGGTGAGTGGGTTAGAGGGTGAGTGGGTGAGATGGTGAGTGTGTTAGATGGTGAGTGTGTTAGATGGTGAGTGGGTGAGATGGTGAGTGGGTGAGATGGTGAGTGGGTGAGATGGTGAGTGGGTGAGATGGTGAGTGGGTGAGATGGTGAGTGGGTGAGATGGTGAGTGTGTTAGATGGTGAGTGGGTGAGATGGTGAGTGTGTTAGATGGTGAGTGGGTTAGATGGTGAGTGTGTTAGAGGGTGAGATGGTGAGTGGGTGAGATGGTGAGTGTGTTAGATGGTGAGTGGGTGAGATGGTGAGTGGGTGAGATGGTGAGTGGGTTAGAGGGTGAGTGGGTGAGATGGTGAGTGTGTTAGATGGTGAGTGGGTTAGATGGTGAGTGGGTGAGATGGTGAGTGTGTTAGATGGTGAGTGGGTTAGATGGTGAGTGTGTGAGATGGTGAGTGTGTTAGATGGTGAGTGGGTTAGATGGTGAGTGGGTGAGATGGTGAGTGGGTGAGATGGTGAGTGGGTGAGATGGTGAGTGTGTTAGATGGTGAGTGGGTGAGATGGTGAGTGTGTTAGATGGTGAGTGTGTTAGATGGTGAGTGTGTTAGATGGTGAGTGGGTGAGATGGTGAGTGTGTTAGATGGTGAGTGTGTTAGATGGTGAGTGTGTTAGATGGTGAGTGGGTGAGATGGTGAGTGGGTTAGATGGTGAGTGTGTTAGATGGTGAGTGTGTTAGATGGTGAGTGGGTGAGATGGTGAGTGGGTGAGATGGTGAGTGGGTGAGATGGTGAGTGGGTGAGATGGTGAGTGTGTTAGATGGTGAGTGGGTGAGATGGTGAGTGGGTTAGATGGTGAGTGGGTGAGATGGTGAGTGGGTGAGATGGTGAGTGGGTGAGATGGTGAGTGGGTGAGATGGTGAGTGGGTGAGATGGTGAGTGGGTGAGATGGTGAGTGGGTGAGATGGTGAGTGGGTTAGATGGTGAGATGGTGAGTGTGTTAGATGGTGAGTGGGTTAGAGGGTGAGTGGGTTAGAGGGTGAGTGGGTGAGTGGGTGAGATGGTGAGTGTGTTAGATGGTGAGTGTGTTAGATGGTGAGTGGGTGAGATGGTGAGTGGGTGAGATGGTGAGTGGGTTAGATGGTGAGTGGGTGAGATGGTGAGTGGGTTAGATGGTGAGTGGGTGAGATGGTGAGTGGGTTAGATGGTGAGTGTGTTAGAGGGTGAGTGGGTGAGATGGTGAGTGTGTTAGATGGTGAGTGTGTTAGATGGTGAGTGGGTGAGATGGTGAGTGGGTGAGATGGTGAGTGGGTGAGATGGTGAGTGGGTGAGATGGTGAGTGGGTGAGATGGTGAGTGGGTGAGATGGTGAGTGTGTTAGATGGTGAGTGGGTGAGATGGTGAGTGGGTGAGATGGTGAGTGTGTTAGATAGTGAGTGGGTGAGATGGTGAGTGGGTGAGATGGTGAGTGGGTTAGATGGTGAGTGGGTTAGATGGTGAGTGGGTGAGATGGTGAGTGTGTTAGATGGTGAGTGGGTGAGATGGTGAGTGGGTGAGATGGTGAGTGGGTGAGATGGTGAGTGTGTTAGATGGTGAGTGGGTGAGATGGTGAGTGGGTGAGATGGTGAGTGTGTTAGATGGTGAGTGTTTTAGATGGTGAGTGGGTGAGATGGTGAGTGTGTTAGATGGTGAGTGGGTGAGATGGTGAGTGTGTTAGATGGTGAGTGGGTTAGATGGTGAGTGGGTGAGATGGTGAGTGGGTGAGATGGTGAGTGGGTGAGATGGTGAGTGTGTTAGATGGTGAGTGGGTGAGATGGTGAGTGTGTTAGATGGTGAGTGTGTTAGATGGTGAGTGTGTTAGATGGTGAGTGTGTTAGATGGTGAGTGTGTTAGATGGTGAGTGTGTGAGATGGTGAGTGTGTGAGATGGTGAGTGGGTGAGATGGTGAGTGGGTGAGATGGTGAGTGTGTTAGATGGTGAGTGGGTGAGATGGTGAGTGTGTTAGATGGTGAGTGGGTGGGATGGTGAGTGGGTCGGATGGTGAGTGGGTTAGATGGTGAGTGGGTTAGATGGTGAGTGGGTTAGATGGCTGGAGCTGCTGGATGGAGCTGTGCCTGGTGCTGTGGATGGAGTTATTGATGGAGCTATAGATGGAGCTGTGGATGGAGCTATGGCTGGAGCTATGGCTGGAGCTATGGTTGGAGCTATGGTTGGAACTATGGTTGGAGCTATGGCTGGCGCTATGGCTGGGGCTGTGGATGGAGCGGTGGATGGAGCTATGGCTGGAGCTATGGTTGGAGTTGTGGCTGGAGCTGCTGGATGAAGCTATGGCTGGGGCTGTGGATGGAGCGGTGGATGGAGCTGGAGCTGGGCCTGGAGCTGTGGATGGAGCTATGGCTGGAGTTATGGCTGAAGCTATGGCTGGAGCTATGGCTGGAGTTATGGATGGAGCTATGGCTGGAGCTATGGCTGGAGTAATGGATGGAGCTATGGCTGGAGCTATGGCTAGAGCTGTGGATGGAGCTGTGGCTGGAGCTATGGATGGAGCTATGGATGGAGTTGTGGATGGAGTTGTGGCTGGAGCTATGGATGGAGTTATGGATGGAGCTATGGATGGAGCTATGGATGTAGCTATGGCTGAAGCTATGGCTGGAGCTATGGATGGAGCTATGGCTGGAGCTATGGCTGGAGCTATGGATGGAGCTATGGCTGGAGCTATGGATGTAGTTGTGTCCGGAGCTGTGGATGGAGTTATGGCTGGAGCTATGGATAGAGTTGTGGCTGGTGTTGTGGCTGGGACTATGGATGGCGTTATGGATGGAGCTATGGATGAAGTTGTGGCTGGGGCTGTGGATGGAGTTATGGATGGAGCTATGGATGGAGCTATGGATGTAGCTATGGCTGAAGCTATGGATGGAGCTATGGATGGAGCTATGGCTGAAGCTATGGCTGGAGCTATGGCTGGAGCTATGGATGGAGCTATGGCTGGAGCTATGGCTGGAGCTATG